GATGAGCCCCTTCTTGGCTAATTATGGGTGTCATCCCAGGGCTTTCCCAGGGGAGAGGGGAGAGATGGAGCGTCCCGGCAGCCGAGCATTTTGTGGAAGAAATGGAAGCAATCCATCGTCAGCTCCAACTCAACTTAGAAAGGGCGAAGGAAGAATACAAGAGGCAGGCAGACAAGAACCGAAGGGAAGGTGAAACCATAAGGGTGGGAGATAGGGTGTGGCTGTCAACCCAAGGGTTGCCGTTCAAAGGAGGTTGTAAGAAATTAAGACCCAGGAGGTTGGGTCCCTTTGAGGTCATTCAACAGGTCAACCCAGTGGCTTTCAGGCTCCGGTTACCCAACCACATGAAACTGCACCCAGTATTTCACAGGTCGTTACTGTCACCGTACGAAGGGGGACGAGAAGGGCTGGCCCCTCGGGGACCGGTCGTAGAAGAAAGAGAATGCAGCAGCCATGTGGCAGAAATCCTCGACGCCAGGTGGAAGGGGGATCAGGTGGAGTATTTGGTAGCGTGGGAAGGAGAACCGGAGTCAGAAAACACTTGGGTAATGGCTGAAGATATCAATGACGAGGTATTGATAGAAACGTTCCATCAAAGGTTCCCAAGGAAACCTCAGCCTGTGGAGAGGTTCCGGAGGGAATACTTTGGGACCACTGATGAAGGGGAGGAGTTGGAAGGATTCCCGGACTCGGAAGGGGAAGGGGAGATGGACTCTGAGGAGGAGGTGTACTTCGAGACCAGGAACCGCAACAGGTTGAGAGAAGTGTTCGAGACATCGGAAGATGAAGGAAGTTCATTCCGGGGTTTTGCCTCCTCACCGCCCGTAGAGGAGGGGGCGAGAGGGGGTGAAGGGGGCCCTGGAGGGGAGGTGGATGTCAGGGAACTGCCATCGGACGGAAGGGAGGTGAAAGGGCTCACACAGGTTGGGAGAGACGCAGCAGCTGAAGAGGGAACCAACAGGGAGGTGAAAGGGCTCACACAGGTTGGGAGAGACGCAGCAGCTGAAGAGGGAACCAGCAGGGGGAGGAGCTGAGCTGGAGGGATGGCTCAGAGACACTTCCAGCGAAAACAGTGGGGAAGTTTCAGGACCTCCTGTAAGAACACCCACTCCTCGCCGGAAACTGTCACGCAGAGATTCCAGAAGACGTGTTTCCGTTAAGGAGCTTTTATGTTGGAAGCGATTACGAAAGCAACCACTGTCGGAATCTGCTAGTGACTAGAGTAGCCATGTCTGAGGGGCTCCGTCACAGACAGAGGTTTGTGGACTTGAACAAACTCTGAGGGGATACGATTTTACGCACAAGCAGCTCATCATCCCATCACAGTATATAACCAGCTATGCCGACACAGTAGGTTGAGTGAACAAGACCTTATATTACTGCTTTAATGTTGTCAGATGCCACATGGTGGTGCTATATGTCAACCTTGTTTTCAAGCTAAACTGGTTTCATTCGGCTCTAGAAGGACCAAACTAGACTTGAAAACATGTGGGATTTTGCAAAACGCAGATTGCAACAGTTCAGAGGCAACTGATAATTAACAGGGCCAGAGTATGCATGGACCACTTACTCCTGTGCATCAATCCTGAAGAATTTCCTTCTGAAGCTGGTATTTGTCTTGGAAGGTAATCCCCAATTGGTGGCAATGGGGGAATTTCTAGCAATGCAACAACCCCCTTCAAAGAGAGAATTTCCTCAAGACAGTAGCAGGGAGAAGGAATGCCTGCCCACATCTCCTTAATTATCACTTTCTGCTAGCTGATGTATTTGCATTTACAAAAAAAAAAAAAAACACACACACACACACACATTAAATGCAAGGCCCCCTTTAACATCTGGTTTGGCCCTGAATCTTGCTTGCTTGTCCTCCTTATCTTTCAGCATTATTTCAACTACTGTACATCCACACAGGGCTGTCAGCTTTTGAACCAGACCCCTCTGCAGCTTTTAACAGCAGTTTTACCTTCGGCAATTAACAGGTGGTAACATTTTTTAAGGAACAAAGAATCTTCTGGCACCTTAAAGAGTAACACATTTATTATGACTTACTGGTAGGTGCCGTGCACTCATTATATTAAATGTTTAATATTGAAATGCCCTCCTTTCATTGATATTTTTAAAGCACTAGTTGCTGGATTCTGCATACCTCTTAAAAGAACTGATGAAGATGAGGCCACACGCCCTCCCTGCCCCACCAGTTGGCATCCTATTATCCAGCTAGCTCAATAATGGTCCAAAGTCCACATTCTAAAAGGAAGACACTCCAATTTTATAGACTCATAAAGTTGAACTGGCTAACACAGGATTTGGAAAGTCTTTGGTCCTCCAGATGTTGCTGAACTACAACTCCCATCAGCCCGAGCATGGGTGGCCAATGGTCAGAGTTGATGGGAACTGTAGTTCACCAACATATGGAGGACTAAATCCACACCTGAGCTACTGCATCTGTATAATGGGAGGACTTCAGACAGATGAACAGATCCTGTACTTAGTGATATACCTTTGGCTGGAGATGGGTAATGGTTCACAGGCTGCACATTCACACCGTGCATTTGAAGCACTATTTAAAGCACATGGCTCCCCCAAAAGAATCATGGCAACCACAGTTCACCCCTCACAAAACTACAATTTCTAGCATCTTTAACAAAACTGAAGCTCCTGGGATTCTTTGGGGGAAGCCACGTGTTTTAAATGTATGGTGTAGATGTGACTGAATCATCAGTCACATGGCAACCTCCTTTGAGTTGTTAGCTCCTAATTTTCATTGGGACTTTAGCATGCAGGGACAGGAGGTTTAGATTTTCTTTTCCCGAATGGATTCACACTGAAATTTTCCATACACAATGCAGTTAAGACTTTAAGGGCAAGCTCCCATTGGCACCAATGGGAGCTTTTTACTAAGAGCAACTACAGCATATGCTGGATGTGGTGCTTTTCATTTAAATTACAACAGGAGAGGGATGAATAAGACCTCCCTTCATGTGCTATGGTCTTAATAACATCCACCCACATGCCTATGCTTTTTTTTTTTTAATCCACACTATTAACCCAACATATAGGCTGACTCTGAAGGAAGAAGAGGAAAGATGCCCATTTTCACTATGAACAACATGGGGCCAATATTTCTCATGAGAGGAAAGAGCTATCTTATTAAGAATGTGTGCATGGAACAACTTCTGTTAATACTGTGGATTAGAAGATGAACCTCAGTGCGACTGGGCTGTATTAGCAAGATGCCATCGGCACGCAGACAGAGTGTAAATTGGTGGGTGGAAAAACAGATCCCTTTGGACATTCCAAAGTCATATAATACAAGCCAAGGGCCGAAGACCAATGGAGAAGTAAGAGAAAAGCAGCTGGCCACAAGTCCCAGAAGAATTGCTGGGAGGAAAAGAATCCCTGGAAACCAGTAGAATTGTTACTTTATTAATCATCAACCCCTCAGTTTTTGATGTTCCATGGTGAGTGTGGATCAATAGGTAGCAAAAATGGAACGACACACACACGGGCATTGGCAGACATGGAAGAATCCCACAATTTGCAGAAGTGGAACAAATCTTTAGAGGGGGGAAACTGAAATGGGAGAAGACATAATTCATAATCCCTATGAGGACTAGGGATGTAAGAAGGTGCTGTTTTCCACTGTGCTGTGTATTCCTCACATACAACACCGTTTCTGTCCTGCTGCAGTTCATCTTCCACCAAAGACTACACTTTTTGTCTTGCTGTCTGCTGTGGTGAAACTATGTAATTTGTGTAACTAATTACCTTGCCATGATGCTGTTCCACCCTGTTCATTTCAATGCAAACACAAATGGGGGCGGCGGCGTTGTAATCAATTATGTATTGTGTGCAGATTGAAAGCAGCAGCAATTTCAGTCTTTCCCACTTTTGTTGGAATTCTGTGGCATCCCTAATGGGAGCTGAGCATGTTGAATGGCCACAGGATACTGATGAGGGCGGGCAGGATAAAAGGGAAATGGATTGGAGTGGCTTGAAACCTGAACAGAAACACACTGCATTGCAACAATTTGTTGCAGGTTCCCTTGAATATTCTTTTCAAAGGAGTTACAAGGTCTTCATAGCATAAATCCCTGAACTGTGGGTCACAATTTAATGGACTATCCTGGAAAATCAACCTAGCATTGCAATAATCCAAACTATATGTGTTTCTGACTTCCAATATCCCTAAAGTTAGCTACCATATAATTGTTATATATTGTGAGGATTTGATATTTGACTTCAAGTCCTTAATTCCACTTCTATAATATACTACTAATCATTATCATTAAGAAAATGTATTTCAGTTCATTTTGTGACCTATTAAATCCTGGGATTGTCGCTTAGAATGATTAGGCTTTATCCCAGCTTAGGTCTGGCTCATATGATGATACAAAACTTATGAGTAGGGATGCTGAGGGCTGCCACATACCTGCTGTCTGTCCATTGTGCCCTCCAGATCTTGTTGGGACCCCAAAACATCTCACTGCTTCGGGATTGGAGTGCACTGGGCAAAGTTACTAAATACATTCTAGAATATTCCCTCTACCAGTGGTGGGAAGGTTGGTGGCAGGGAGACCAGCAGTAGATGGAGATAGAACCAGTGACAGGCAGAGCCAACCCTTGATTGGCTGTAAGGAAGAGATATATAGGTCACCGTAATCAGTTCAATACATTATCACTGTATGATGCATGAATGTCGCTGATTTCCATTATTCCTGGGATGTTGGAAATGTGAATATTAGCTGAACTTACACAGTAAGAGAATGCCTATAGGGCTGATTTACCTCAGTGGCTTGCAAATGATCCACAGAGGCACACAGAGTCCCATGGGTACTAGCACCTTGTAGGTATGAATGCTACTGCCATATCTGGAATGTGTTGTTTGAGCAAGTATTTAGTTCTGGAGGGATAAAAACAAATAATCTCCACTAGTTCCATGCATTCATTATTGCACAGTGGTTTATTTTCAGAGATTTTGCTCTATACATTGAAGTTTGCTCAGTTTCTGAGGTGTTTTCTTCAAACCCTGAACAGTAATTCACCTCATGGCTGTCCTGAAGACTGGTGAGAAAAGCAACACCTAATTAATCAGTGGCAGATGCTGTTATTACGGGAAGTCGGCAAACACCCAACAGTTAAGGTAAACTGTAGTGTAACATTAAGCTTAGCTGACAAATTTCCAAGTCTTCTGATGGTAGGAGCTGAGGAGTGAAGCTACATCAGAGGTAATGTGAAACACTTCTATATGCCTATGACAGAAGGTAATGCTGCTTGATTCAGAACTGGAATGAGATGCATTCTAGAATATTCCCTCTCTCCCTCCCACTCACAAAACTTCCAGTCCAACCAGAAACAAATCACGACTGCTTTGGCTCTAGTGGCAATGGCATCGAAAAAGCTGTTGTTCTCCACCATCATTGTCTGCCGAATGTCACTGCGGAGCTTTTCTGAGTGGTCTGTGGTCTTTTAAAATACGACACAGTAGGAAATAGCATTTGTATCTGTCACAATTTGGACTCCATATTTAATTCCAATCAGTGGAGGTGTGAGTGGCGTTGTCTGGTTTTTTTTTGCTGGATGATTTTCAGTTCTTAGGACCTGAGGATGTGGAAAAAGTGTTTGTAGAAGCCCAACCATCCACAGGTATGCTTGGACGCACCCCCCCCCCCCGCTCATTGCATCTAGCAAGGAAAGGATAGCTTGGCTGGTCCAGGAGGTGGGGAATATGTCATTAAAAGATGCTATGGTTCTATGCTCCTTAAAGGAGGTGGTAGTGTGATCACTCCAGAAAAAACATCATTGGATCCAGAAGATCTTAACAAATATAGGCTGGGAAGGGTACACAATACTTCTGCTACTGCACTGAAAGAGGCTGGGCATTATGGGGATATTAAGCCACCGATACTGGATACTGGTTCTAATTAAGTGTTGACATTTATCTTTAAAGCCTTTCACAGTTTGAGCTCTTGAAGCATTGCCCCTTCTCCCATGTGCCTACCTATCTATGTCTTGAAGCCATTCTCCAAGTGCCCCTTTGAGCAGCAGGTGACCAGATGTGAAGAGGCCTTTTCAGCAATGGCCTCATGGCTGTGAAATGCAGTCCCTTCACCGGGCACCTACACTGATGGATTTCTGGCACAAGGAAAATATCTTTTCTATTTACCCAGGCCTTTAAACGTATGCAGTAGTTTACCACAAATTTCCCTTTGTGAAGTTGTTTAGTGTTTTTAACTTACTTAATCTGTGGTGACCCTCTGTTCTGTTTTTTTTAAAGTGGTCTTTCTGATGCTATAGTATTGTTTTTGCTTGCTGTGTTTTATTGTATCTTTATTGTAATTGTGTTTATTTTAACTCATTCTTATCTTTGTAAGTCTATCCAGAAAACCTCCATTATAGGCTGATCTATAAATAGTAGCTTATGCATGAATGCAAAAATAAATACACAAGTCATACTGGCCTTTCAGCTTCTCGTCCACAGAGAGAAATCCTGCCTGTTTAGTTTTCCCTGTAATTAGGGTCTGGGGTAAAATACAAGAAGAGGCCTGATGGCTCAGGCTAAAAGCCCAGTCTCTAGACCAGTCTCCCTTTCTCAGTGGCCAGTGATGTGCCTCTCAGAAGGCCATAAGTACAATAGCACTCTCCCCACTTGCAATGCCCAGAAACACACCACCTTTGACCTTGTAGGGTGAACATAGCCATCACTGCTAGCAGCCACTGATAGCCTTATCCTCCATAGATTTGTCTAATCCTTTATAAAAGTTCTCTCTAGCTACGAGCCAAATAACTGTGGCCTGCCTGGGACAATGCTGTGTGACAGAAACATTTACCATACTTATTAGCCACGTGTTGTGGCTGTATTTGGGACAATGCTGTAGCAGCAGGAGGACATGCCATTATTTGCATCACCACTGTTAATTCTGCATTACAGGAGCACGCTGCAAAGTTAAAATATAAAGCCACCGCTTTTGTTGCCACAAGCTCTTGCTCTCCGCTGCTGGATCATGCTTGGTGTTAGCAGCACTCCTGGCTCTCCTCCTCACCCTCATCTGAGGGTTACATACTTCCCTAATGGAGGCAGCTTGTCCCGTCCCAAGTATCTGGTGCCAACATAGCTACAATTCCGGATGAGCTCCGTCTCTCTGGGACACCTGCTGCCGGAGCTCAAAGTGATGACGTCAACAGCTTATTGGTGGGAGCTCAAGCTCTAAAACCCATGTAGCTCTGCTTGGGGAAGAACTATGATTTGGTATTAGAAGGAGGGAATCTCTCCAACTTTGGAATGAGATCGCTCAGATTTTGCAATTTGAAGGTCACAATGGATGTGACATGTATAATTAGAGAAGGGTGATCATTAAGACGATGTTTGTATATTCAGCATATATTGAGGTGGAACTAGAAAACAAAATATCCAATTGATTTGCCAATTAAAACTTTTAGCCTCCTGGGGTCATAATGCAAATGAGGGCATAGATGCAACGCATTAGAAAAGGGGGTCTTGTGTGAACCTTATGAACAAGGTTTGAGAATGCATTGATTTATAGATCTATTAGAAATAAATTGATATCTCCATGGTAGAAAATATGGCCAATTATCTGTTAGACAGAGGAATAACATTTCCCCTGATAATAAAGGATATGACCAGGGATGTACTCATAATGCCTCTGTAGCAAACACTGTCACATCAGCGGAGCTTGTTTACCAACGTGGCACCCTCCAGATGTTTTTAGACTACAACTACAACTCCCTGCTTGTACTGGCTGGGGTTGATGGGAATTGTAGTCTAAAATATCTCCTGGGCACCAGGTTAGGGAAAGCTTGTTTAGAGCCACTTCATATAGTCAGGTTAAAAAAACAAAAAACTACTGTGAATACAACATCTTCTAAATATAGAGCTAAAAATTTAAACCTCCAGTCTAGTAAAGTGTATTTGGGACTATGCATGTATAGACTTTTTTAAAAAGCTGAAATATCAATTATCAGCTGTTTGAGAGTGAAGGGGAGGGAGAGGGACTGAAACCCAAATAGCTGATCACCCAGATTTTAGCCAGTGTGGTGTAGTGGTTAGAGTCTCAGACTAGGACTTGGGAGACAAGAGTTCAAATTTCCACACAGTTATGAAGCTGGGCCAACCACTCCCTCTCAGCCTAACTTGTGGGGATTAAATGGGGAGGGGGGAAACCATGTATACCACCTTGAGCTCCTTGGAGAAAAAGGTGGGATATAAATTCAATCATTCAATCAATCAATCAATAGATAGATAGGCCAGGGATATGCCTGTGGCTGTCTACTTATATCAGTGCATGGTCACCAGATGGATCAAGTGCATGGGCATATGTACGGTATGCTGTAGCTGCACTCATAAAAAGGGAATTGCTTAAAAGAAAACTAAGGGTGCAGTTGACTCTCCACCTACCTGGGAGTGAAACCCATATGGAACTCAATGGGACTTTCTTCTGAATAGCCCTGTATAGGATTGCTCTGTTAAATAACTTTCCACAATTCATCAAACCTGAGTGAAATTTCTTTAGGGCAGTATATCATGAATGAGTATTTTTAAATCGGCTGTAAATCAAGCTATAAGAACCAAGCTCTTTGAGCAGTGGAACGTGAGACCAGCAATACTTTCTGAAGGCAAAGCTGCCCCCCATTTGTCCAGCCACTTGTGGACCCACATGAGTGATGATAACTTAGGAAAGTTCCTCACATTTCAAAACTCACACAGTGACTATCATGTTCTTCCTCTCGCTATCCTAGCCCCCACCCTTTCTCTCATACTGTGTACATGTGTTTGGAACCTTCAGCAAATGCTGACAGTGAAGGCTTGTTTTTTGTTTAAAAAAAAAATCACAATGCAAAACATAGGCCATATCCACACCATACATTTAAAGCATTATTATACCACTTTAACAGTTGTGGCTTCTCCCAAAGAATCCTGGGAACTATGCTAAGGATGCTGAGAGTTGTGAGAAGACCCCAATTCCCCGCACAGAACTACAATTCCCAGAGTTCCCTGGGAAGAGGGATTGATTTTTTGACCACTTTTGAGAATTATTATTTCTGTGAGGGGAATAGGGGGTCTCTGAGTGGCAGGAGCCTCTCAAAGCTTTCTCTTTCCCTGCTGTACTACCTTGGATACATTTATCAGGATAGGGTACTGAGAGTTAGGAGACCTCAATTTCCAGAACTACAATTCCCAGAATCCCTGAGAAGATGGATTGATTGTTAAACCACTCAGGGGCCTCCTAACAATTCTCAGCATGCTGTAGTTCCCACAGGGGTGGACTTTGGTGATCTTTCTTATTATGGTGCCCTGTGCAAGGCCTGGATGGGCTGAGTCAGTTCAGAGTCAGGGGGTTATTCATCGAGAAGGCTGCTTAGTGAATCAATACACCTGCATGCAGATCCAGCATTTCCAGACAATCAATTTATTTAAGTGCCCTTAACAGTCTTGCTCTCTGTAAGCTCTTTTCATCTTACGCTATCATTGATATTAGAATCCTTTAAATATATTCACTAGGCTAGGTCAGATGCAGGGTTGGCTCCTTTTGGGGCTTCTTTTTGAACTACCCCCCCCCCCCAGTAGTCTCTTCAGTAGCAATTTGATCTGCAGCAGTTTGACCAGGTTTAGCTCCATGTTGTGGAAAACATTACCTGCTAATTTCTCCATTCTCTGTTAAAAGAAGAGCGCAACTTGGAAGAGTGCTGATAGCTGTGCGTCCTGCTTTTTGTCTTCCCAGAGGCATTTGGTTGGCTACATTAGGCATAGGATGCTGGATTAGATGGGCCTTTGGTCTGATCCATCAGAGCTCTACTCATGTTCCAAGGGACAGGAATAGGCCAGGCTGGTCTCCCTGTTGCCCCCCCCCCAGTCAGTGTAATTACATAAAACAGAAACAATTTGTGCAATTGCTTGCCTAGTCAAATAATCAAAGAGTCCTGCACTGTATGTTCCAGCTCTCCGTGTTCAATTTATGCTTGCGGTTTTTTTCCCCAGTTGCTTATTTGGGGGTGTTAAAGAGACTATGGACTGGATCCATGGATATATATTGCCTCTGAACTGAAAATCCCATATAGCCATATTGTGTATTTAAAAAGAAGAGCTGTGTTAAGATTTTTACTGAGGACACCAGAGCCTATATTCTTCAAATATACCGTAATCTGTTCTTTCTGTTATTCCTTAGACAGGTATTTGACACAATGTCACCTTCACCACCCTGCGCTAGCAATTACTTTAGCTGTTCCTTCTCCATAGCCAAGAGTATGTTTGTGCGTGTCAAGTGCAATGCTTTTATGATCCAAACTGCCCACATGCTGGAGAAGGAACACAACCACCCACAAGATGTCAGATTACATATTGGCTGGGTCTCCTTAAAACATTGTGCACGAAAGCCCTTTGAAGCTTTTTTGTTGTTAATCTGCCAGCTATAGTCCCATCAAGGGATAGACTGCTGGCTCTAAGGCTGATCTACCTGAGCATCACTTTGTAATCTAGCCTAATACTCTATGTCTTTGTTCTGGTCAGTTCTGAGCAGAAAGATATGATTGGAACATCTCATATGGTGCGGCTTATTTGGCATAACAGGAGGGGAGATCTCAGTTTCATAGAATCAAAGAATCTTAGAGTTAGAAGAGACCCTGGGGGTCAACTATTCAAATCCCCTGCAATGCAGGAATCTCAACCAAAGCATCCTTGGCAAATGGCCATTGAATCTCTGCTTAAAAACCTCCAATGAAGCAGAGTCCACCTTCTCCTAAGGAAGTCCATTCCACTGTCAAACAGCTCTTACCATCAGAAAGAAAGATCTTCCTTACGTTTCGTCAGAATCTCCTTTCTTGTAACTTAAATCCATTGGTTCGAGTCCTAACCTCCGGGGCTGGAGAAAACAAGCTAGCTCCATCACATGCCATCTTTAAACTGCTTTGAGATAGACTTTTTGTTCAATGATAAGAAAGACTTTTTTATGTTGCCACATAAATATTTCCAGAAAGCTTCTGAAACATTGTACTCCAGAACACTATTCAGGATCAGCCCTACCATTAGGTAAAGTGGAGAAGCTGCCTCAGGCAGAACATACTGCCCCTGCCCTCCTGAGTAAGGAGTGGCAGGAAAGTGTTCAAGGAAAAAGCTGTATGTGCCACATGGCCTGACTTCTTTCTCCTAAGCTAGCCAGATGACCTCAGATGTGATGGAGGATGCTGCCCCCATCATCAGTGTTTGAAGTGAGATTTAATTGCCAGTCTGTTTGGCTTCTATACATGGAAAGGGTTGGTGGTGCTCCATCTTTTCCCTCACTCCAGGCAACAAAATGTGTTAGGCTGCCCCCATGCCTATTCCAACCCTCTTTCTATTATTCTCTTCTAATATCCAGCTCAAAAAATAATCTATATGCCAGGGAGAATTCACCAATTTTCCATTCCATCTTACCATTTCTAACAGTTCCTACAAATCAGGCAAGTTAATGAAGAGAATGGTATACAGTGGTACCTCAGGTTAAGTACTTAATTCATTCCGGAGATCTGTTCTTAACCTGAAACTGTTCTTAACCTGAAGCATTACTTTAGCTAATGGGGCCTCCCGCTGCCACCGCGCCGCTGGAGCACGATTTCTGTTCTCATCCTGAAGCAAAGTTCTTAACCTGAAGCACTATTTCTGGGTTAGCGGAGTCTGTAACCTGAAGCATATGTAACCTGAAGTATATGTAACCTGAGGTACCACTGTATTTCTTTTCATAATGACAGGTGGTTGTTTTTCCCCCAGTTTAAAGGCTTCAGATTACTGTCTGTTGAAGACTTCATTTTGATTCCTCTCACTTTCCTCGTTACAAAATTCCACCTTCAACTACCAAAGAAAAATACTGACTTTGTTCAGTAGCTAGGTCCAAAACCATGACATGGTGATCATATTGGCTAGTGGACAGCAGAAAACGTCACTAAAGGTTTTTTCCCCCATGAAAAAATGGGGGAGGGGGGCACATGGTAGAATTTTCTTTTTCCATTCAATTCTTAAGAGCATACTGTATCTCTTGCAGCTAAACTAGATTTTATGAAAGACACAGAGCTGAAGAATCATGCCCCCTTCTCTTCCTTGTAGCAACTAGCACTAGGGAAACACACCATCTGCCATGATGTCACTGTGCTCCTCATTGCCCCACCCTCAGAAGCTAACAGCACGATATGTGAGGTGCAGGCAGGATGATGCCCAGTGCGATGACACCATGGCGTTCGCTGCATTTACCTAGAAGTTAGAAGAGGCAGGGGGAACAATACCATGGCTGCATACCCCCATATATTTAAAGCTCATTTACAGTACATCACCTCAAAAAACAATACTGAGAATTGTAGTTTGTTAAGGGTGCTGTGAAATGTAGCTTTGCAAGGAGCAAACTGCAGCTCTCGGGTTTCTTTGGGGTAAATGTGCTTTAAATGTATGAAGTGTATGCAGCCATGGAATTGTGACAGCTCCATATCTGTTGTAATATCCCCATGTTGTAAAGTCAGTGATTAGGTGAAACCTTGCTATTTGTCTCTCCCCCACCCCCACCCCATCCATGCCCTGGTTTACATAGCTTTTTTCCATGAAACATATAGTTGTTCTGCCTTGTACTTCTTACAGTGAACAAGATCGTTCTGCTTAAGGTTTGCTGACAGATGGGCAGGAGCCTATAAATCTGAGCCAATGTTTGAAGCCTACGGACCAGCGTCTAAGGTTTCTGTGACCGAGCCAGGAGACCCTGGCAGCAGTTAAGTGTCAGGGCCCTTGAGAGACTTTTTTGGAGTTGGCAGCAGAGAAGCATACATCTTTGCTTTCTCTTGCCCTAAGACAATCTTGTCTGTCCAATAAACTGCTGGGCATAGGATGTATGCTTAGTGCATGATGTATAGGCCCAGGTCAGCTTAAGGCTGCATACACACTATAATATGTCACTATGAGGTGATTGGCAGGTGGTTGCCCACTTACTTGTCAGATTTAGCCTGCCAGGGGTGGGGGAGATAAAAGTTGTCTCCCTTTAGCCAGAAAATATTTCATATCCCTGCTGCACTAGACCTTTTAAGTATATGTTTCCTCCCTCAAACAATTCTGGGCACTTTTGTTTACCCCTCAGAGTTTTACCTTCCCAGACACCCTTAATAAACTACACTGCCCAGAACTCTTTGCTGAGGGAAAATAAGCTTCAAATGGACTTTAAAGTTGTATAGTGTGTTCACAGTCTTTTCATTTGTCAGCAAATATTCCCTCAATAATACACGAAGCATGAAAGACGGTTAGCTGTTCCTGCTCAGTTCCTGTTTGCAATGGTTCAGTCTCTGACACTGAACACACCCTTAAACATGCCCACATTTCCTTGGGTGCCAGGATTGGACCCTACCTTCTGTTCTGAACAGGAGAGAGGAACACAGAGTGTCTCTCTGTGAGTGAGCACAGTAGTAGCTGAGTAATTCAACTTTTTCTCCTTGATGGGGGCATGTCTGCACCATTTGTGCTTCTCTCTCTCTTTTTGCTGTTTGAATGTGGCAGCCATTTTGTGTTTTGCCACACCAACCATGACAGCCATTTCATACCCTCCAATATTTCTCCGATGAAAATAGGGATATCCTAAGGAAAAGTGGGACGTTCTGGGATCAAATCAGAAACAGGGACGCCTTCTCTAAGTTAGGGACATCTCTGGAAAATAGGGACACTTGAAGGGCCTGCCATTTTGTGCTACTGTATGTCACATTACCCACTGCAGTCCTTTTGTGACTGGGGCCAGTGGCAGTTTATCAAAATACTAAATGTGCCCCCTAAATGTGTTAAAAGAGTTGATGTTTTATTATACTCTCAAAATGCTTTCCTTATTTTTGAGCTTAGAATCCTCATATTGTCCATAATCATTGAGAAAATTGAGAAAGTCACTTTTTTTGTCCTTTATCAGAAGACTGCCGCTCTCTTTCATGAAAAAGGCTTGAATAGTTGACTGAGTAATTGCTTGGTGGCCAGAAATTCAGTGGGTATGTAGCATGAGGAGAACAGTTGGAATGAATTGACCAGGACGTTTTCTTAGTAGTTCCACCCACTTTGGTGTCAGACTTATTTATTTCAAAGCTGAGGTAAACCTTTGGGGAGGAGAACGGCAGTAACTGCCGTTTTGTCCTCTTCAGAAAGCCCAGTTCTGAGGTGTTTTTGAGTTTGGGAAATTCAGAATGGCTGCCACTCTTTACAGAATATGTGGCTCATGCCAGGAGCAACTAATTTTCTTCCAAAGATGTAAAGCTAAATACCACTGAAGAAAAAAGCACTGACCGAAGCAGACATGTTAAAAAATACTGTGTCATGGACCACTGTTCCCTGCAACCTGGTTTTTTAAACCTAAACTAGTAGGAAAGCATTTGTTTGGATTTTTTTAAAAAAAATTAGAGTCTTGTAAAAAACAACAACAACTGTTAAAAAACCATCAAAAAACTAAGATGCATTGTTTGAAAGTAGAAGTAAAAGTTTGAGAGCTCACCCAGACCAGTTTGGGGGGGGGGGCAGAGGAGAAGCAAATGAGAGCTTAAAACTGCAGTCTTATGCATGTCAATTTCTTACAGATGCAAAACGGGTATTATGTGGCACCTGTAACACTGCCGGTTACTGCAATCAAAACAGTTGAGAAAGCAGATATGGGGTAAGGCAAACTGATCCCAAGTTGAACTCAGGTGTTATATGCTGACAAGGTCTCACCTCCAACAAAATTTTGAATATGCACTGTGTGCCTCACTTGCTTTTGTCAACTCTGAATCGCCCACAAATCTGACTTACTGGAGTGAGAAAATTTTCTCTTCCTCCACTCTCACCATAGCATGCATAATACTGTATACCAGTTACACAGTCCTCTTCATGCAGAATTTGTTTCATCTTAAGGACCTGATTCTGGTTTTTGTGTGTGTGTTTTTACACAGTTCTACTATGTACAGTATCTCACACATTGTTGGTGCTGCTGCTAATTAAATGTTAAATAGTAGCAGTAACTAAATAGAAACTCCATTTGAGAGACCCAGTTCTGTGACACATGTCAAACAGGAAACCTCTGAGGCCTATCAGATAACAAGTTATGGGAATCCTATGCTAACTATGGCTTCCTCTACTCCTGCGGGATCTTCTGAAAGGTTTGCTATTACATGCAGGACCTTGACAATCCCAGCAGCAGTATTTTAAGCTATTTTAGGCATAGCCATTTGCACAATAGTTTTGTATGGAGGAATTGTGACTATTTCCCACTGGGATATGGTTTGATAGTGGATATTTGTTGGCATAAATTTAAACAATAAAATCATACCCAGCCATTCAAATGCATTAATAATCCAAACACATACAATATATAAAAGACTAGATAGCCACCACTGAGTAAATCAGGCAACCTTAGATTTAGCTTCAAAAATCTGGGCTAAATACCCTGAAACAATCTTGGTAGGTTCGGGAGTATCATCCCGCAACAAATACTGGATTACAGACTCTTTGTAAATCAATATTATAAGCTGTGAGGGAGTCACTAGGAAATCTCTGCGAAGGGTGTTGAGAAGAGTGCAATCCAAAATTATGTGATAATAATATATAATAATAATAATAATAATAATAATAATTTATTATTTAACCCCGCCCATCTGGCTGGGCTTCCCCAGCCACGCTGTCTCCACCCCCATCGTTCTACCCGGACACTGAGGTCCAGCACTGAGGGCCTTCTGGCTGTTCCCTCGCTGCGAGAAGCCAAGTTACAGGGAACCAGGCAGAGGGCCTTCTCGGTAGTGGTGCCCTCCCTGTGGAACGCCCTCCCACCAGATGTCAAAGAGAACAACAACTACCAGACTTTTAGAAGACATCTGAAGGCAGCCCTGTTTAGGGAAGCTTTTAATGTTTGATGTATTACAGTATTTTAATATTTTTTTGGAAGCCGCCCAGAGTGGCTGGGGAAGCCCAGCCAGATGGGCCGGGTATAAATAATAAATTATTATTATTATTATTATTATTATTATTATTATTATTGTCATTAGGCATTATTCCATGGTGGGGCTGCGATGCTAAGTAAGCAGATGAACTTACAAAAGGCTGGGAGGGGTAGAGTTTTTGGATTTCATGGTCTAGCAGTCTCTGCTTGATGAGAGAATATATGTGAATCCCTGTTTGCCTGAGTTTGAGGATAAAATCAGAAACCCATGTAAAATTATGGGTATTTGAAAGTCATAATCCGGTCCCTAGATTCTAAGAGATCCTGACCTAACTCTGCACACATAGCCAGATAGGAGACACATTTTGGGGCTCCTAGAATTTTTGGCTTTGAATTCGAAATGCAATCAATCCTGTAAATAAGTGTTTCCATTGAACTGCTTCCATTATTATTGCTTAATTTTACTATTCAGTGCTGTAAAAGAAAATCTACAGGATGGACTGCGAGCAGATGTAACCAATGCATTAATGGAAGTTATAGTGAAATTCATAGGAGTCAACAGAGAAGGGCTTCTGTGGTGACCATAAGATTTGAGTAGGTTCATATGGGGTGGTTATTCAATTCCAATCCCTGTCATGACCAACAGTCAAGAATGATGGGAGTTGTAGCCCAACAACATATGGAGGGTGAAGGTTCACCACCCCTTGCTTAGGTCATGTATTCTACACCTACTGCCCCTCACTACTCTTGGAATTGCCCTTTGCTCAGTTTAACCTTTCTGAAAGATTTTATAGGGAATCTTACATTTGTCAGAAATTAGCACTTTTATTTACTGAATCATTCTAAAGCACATAATTAAGGAGGCAGCAGGCAGGAATCTTCCAAGTTCCCTTAGTATATTGCATTTTGCAGGCATCCACTTAAAAGTACCTTTAGGGAAAATGGTGAGCCCACCTTTATTTAGGTACAGTCCAACGAGAGGTTGCTATTTTGGGGGATGCAGTCACTTGGGATTCTTAGACAGTGAGTTAGTTTCACTCTGTATCTTGTGACCCTGAAGCTGGAGTGAGGAGTTTGCTGTCACAATTTCCTTAAAATCAGCAGGAAGGGGAACAGCTGGTTTCCTTTTAGTACTCTTTTTTTGTGACACAACATAGACGCCACCTTGCTGACTAAGCATGTCACAAAGTTTGTGCATGTATGTCTGTGTGCGTAGGAATATACTCTGCTGAAAACCTTAACTGGTAATGTGCAGCAGGTGAACACAATCTCCATCCCCTCTCTGTTGTGTACAACAACATGCAAAACGCAACCTGGAACACAGCAGGGGCAGGGGGTGGAATGCCCTTGCTGCATTTTAAGCTGCAAATTAGTTCATAGCCTAAATGTTTTGCCTGTTGTTTAAGAGGAGTTCTGAGCCTTGCCAATTTTTATTCTATGCAATGGATGTTTTGTGTTGCCTTATAACAGTCGTTTAAATTTCTAAAAGTGCCCCTGGGGCCAAAAAAACTGGGGACCCCTGCATTGAGACAGCACAATCAAGAATCAAAGGTTAACAGGCCACAAGTCTATAGAGCCACATCCTATGTGACTGACTGACTACACAACTCATTTATATGCTGTGTTAATGTATCCTGAGCATATTCAAAGCTGCTAATTAAGTCATTTATTTATTTAAAATCTTTTATACCCTGGCCTAAACTTCCATGGCACCCAATAGTTAACAGATCACCCCAATTAAAACAACTTGAATTAAAAATTAGAATCCTCTGAAATTCTGTAGGCTGGGTTTGAGGTGATTCTGGAGGCAAGCGTATTAAGTTAGGTGCAAAAAATGGGTGTGAACTACCTTGTTTTTAATTGAGTCTCAGAGAAAACCCATACTTTTAGGGGAAAACCCCAACCACAATTCCTGTTGGTTGGTCCACACCCATTGCTAAGCTACAACTACTTATACCAAATAAGTAGAAGCCCACTACAGTTCATATATCAAACACTGACAACAGCCTGTATTGCTGCAGAGTAACCAGAGATGATGTAGCTGTCATGGAATCATATATCTTTGGTCAAACATAGGGAGACATATTAATTTACAACTTAAAGCTTGGGGTCGGGACAGTCCATACCCTCCATACATCTCAGCCAAGCACACTCTGCTCCTTTGGCACACTTTTTGTGGGTGCTGAGATTAGGATTCTGCCATGTTCTCACATCTGCTATGGCAATATTGACTATTAGTATATTTTAGCAGCTGGCATGTGATGCAAATCAGCTTCTCACATATCTGCCACACATTAGTTATGTGCTCTGAGTCGGCAGTACTTTGGGGAGCACATTCAGCACTCATCTGCTAACTTGCAGAATGGTGATTTAAAGGTTTTTGGTTCCTCCTACATAAATGAGACTGAGAAGTCAGACCACTGGTCCGTCTAGCTTAGTACTGTCCACACTGACGAACAGTGACTGTCCAGAGTTTCAGCAGAATAATTTCCCAGTCCTACCTGGGGGTGCCATGGAATAAACCTGAGACCTTCTGCATTTGAAGCAGATGTTCTATCACTGAACTACAGCCCTTCAGAGGATTTTCCCTGTTAGTATGGTTTTCATTATTTGTACACAGGCATATACAATACAAAATGCACATCCTCTACACCCTAAATCTAATATCAATGGGCCTGTATTAGAAATAGGCCTATATGCATGCAATTCTATACTGAATCCATTACTCCATCTGCGCTATACATTGAAAGCAGAAGCATATCACTTTAAGTAGCTATTGTTTCCCCCACTTCCCCAGAATCCTGTCTGGGCCTAATGGGAGTTGGAGTCCAACAACATTTGAGTGCCACAGATTTCCCAGCCCTGCCCTGAAGGCAAGCTCAATACCTTTTCTTTTTAATAAAAGATGGACATTATTATTCTGATTTCTCATTCTGGTAACAAAGTCATTGGGGAGGAATTGGAAAAGCAAATATTTAATAGAATTTTCTGGCCACAAACCGTATTCTTTCACTCAATCTGTGATTTCTTTTGTTAGCATCCTAGGAGTATGGTGGGGGGCATGTGCTTTTGGCCAAGAATATCACTGCAGGGTTCAACATAAATAGAGAGATGTTTTTAAAAGCCTATCAGTTTTCCACAATGTCAGGCAAAGCACTTAGCTAAGTTATGTGTGCCAATATCATCTTTCCCATGGCTGGCTTGGCATTAAACATTAGGAATAAAGGATAATTTTAGCAAATGTCACATAATTTAGAGGAACATCCCTTGACCCACGAGCCCAGGATTATGCTATTCTATCACTCTCTAACTTGGCAGGATCTACAATGAGGTTTTCAGAAGAGGTGGACAGTAATTGATTACTGATGCCCAAAGTTTTAAGAAATCAGGACAGAGTAGGTTTTTTGATTTAGACTGAAAGAACAAACATGATAGTCCTAGCTGGGGAGGGTGGGGATTTTGGTTTTCTTTAGTAAAAGATCCACTGATTTCATCAGGGCCACAATCCACTGAGAAGTTCTCTCATTCATTTCAACTGGATCTTGAGCAGCAGAACTTCATAGGAACCTGCTTTATACTGAGTCAGACCATTAGGTCATCCAGCACAATATTGTCTACATTGACTGGCAGTGACTCTCCGGGACTTCAGACAGGAGTCTCTACCAGCCCTATCTGGAAATGCCGGGAATTGAACCTGCGACCTTCTGAATGTAAGGTGGATGCTCTACCTACTGAGCTATGGTCCTTCCCAATGAATTAAACTCTGGATCCACCAAGAACATGTGTGACTTTCCAGAAACCAGGGCATGCATCAAATAGATGTAAAATTTCTATACTTTCCTGTTGTTTCTCAGGGACTCATTCTGATTCTATTTCTAACAACACTGAGTTCATGATTAAAGGGACAGATTATGCTTCTTTAAAAAAATGAGTTTTGTTATGTGGTTAAAATTGTTTTACTATATTTATTGCTATGCAATGTAACTATAAACACACACACAGTTATGTTGCATTGCAATAAATATATTAAAACAATTTCGTTCACAATACAAAAGACATGAAAAAGCATAATCTTTCTAATAGTAAGCACAGCACCACCATTCTGGCAGAAATGGAACCCAAATGACCCCTCCCCCGGAAAGCAAGTGGGAAGTATCAGCATACTTAGGGAAATCCCAAGATTTAGAGAAGTACAAGAAATCTAAAAACAGCAACACCAAAAGGGGCATCTTCCACCTCAAAATTGCCCCAAAAGTGCTTGGTGGTCACCAAGAGATGCTTGATGTTGATGCCAATTCGAAAAGAAAATATTCCTGCATGTGACACTGGCCCTTGAGATATTCCAAGAAAGTATTCCTTACCATCCTGCTGCCAGAGAACTCTATGCTTGGTGTTGATGTATGAGTGGATATTTTCTGTAGTGCCACCCTAATTCTGGGATACCCTCTCGCACCCTAATTCTGGGATACCCTCTCTCACAGAAATTCACTTGATATCCACACTAGTGGCATTCAGACACCAGGTAGAAATCTAACCATTTATTCTGGTTTTCGGCCTGTTATTTGATATTTTTTGTATGTGTTTTTTAAACTATGTTTTCTCTTTAAACTGAGACATCATGTTTTCTTAAAATTAATTTTATTATGGCCCATCCAGAGATCCAAGTACAGTGGTGCCCCGCAAGACGAATGCCTCGCAAGACGGAAAAACCGCTAGACGAAAGGGTTTTCCGTTTTGAAGTTGCTTCGCAGGACGAATTCCCCTATGGGCTTGCTTCGCAAGACGAAAATACCTTGCGAGTCTTGAGATTTTTTTCGCTTTCCCCCTTTATCTAATCTGCTAAGCCTTTAATAGCCTTTAATAGCCTTTTAGCAGCTAATCCCTAAGCCTTTAAGCCTTTAATAGCCGCTAAACCGCTAATAGCGCTAATAGCGCTAATCCGTCAATGGGCTTGCTTCGCAAGACGAAAAAACCGCTAGACGAAGACTCTCGCGGAACGGATTAATTTCGTCTTGCGAGGCACCACTGTATATAGGGTGGGCTACAAATAGCCTCTATCTATCGTCTATCTATCTATCTATCTATCTATCTATCTATCATCTATCTATCTATCTAATCTATTGACATACAGGCTTTCCCAGGGCAGATATATCCATACCAAATTGCCAAGTCCTGCCCTGATGGCACCACTGGTAATATGTTCTTAATTAAATGACTTCCTACGTGGGGCTGCCCTTGAGACTGACCCAGAAACTCCAGCGGGTGCAGAATGCCGCGGCGAGACTCCTTATGGGGTCTTCGCTGCGAGATCACATTCATCCAGTACTATACCAGCTGCACTGGCTCCCGGTGGAGTACAGGATCAGGTTTAAGGTGCTGGTTTTTGTTGATTTAAAGCAGAGCCTCGTGCCCAGCGGAAGGATGAGGAAAATGTGCTACATACTCTATATTGCTTTATTTACAGTTCAAAGCTGGTATATTACAGAAAGACATCTTGCCTCTGCAAGAGCAGAAAATGCATCCTCTCTCCTCAACAGCTCGGAGAGAATCACACAGTGAAAAACAGGAAACCAGTGTACGTCACATCCAGTCTCCCTTTCCCGTGAGAAACTCCAACAGTACAGACTGTGGAATGTAAACACCTGTCTTGTGACTGCAGTTGCTGCTCAGTGAAGGAAATAGAAACCAACATCCTCCCCTTTCTGTGAACATCACTGGGCAGCGTGTTCGTACAGTATCAGTACAAACCCAACTTCTGCACATAGGTACAGTGTTGATCCCTTGATACAATCTTGGACAATACATCAGCAGGAATTTCATTACCTGGCATATAGGACACCGTTACGAGTCCCTTCTGAATACATTCCCTAGCATGCTGCAACTTTAATTGCAAGTGCTTTGTGCTTTAACACAACCTTCAGACTTCAGCAAAGCCAAACATGCTTTGTTGTCCTGGTAAACCTGGATTGGACATTTGACAGGAATTTTCATATCTTTGCACAATTGTACTAACCATTCACAATCCTTAAGTGAATAAGACAGTGCATTCAGTTCGGCTTCACAAGTACTTAAGCTAACTGTTGTTTGCTTCTTGCATGACCAATCAAACAGACTCTGATTGTACATGTAGCAAACTCCAGGCGTACTTTTCCTGTCTGTAGTGTCACTTCCAAAACTTGCATCTGCAAATATCTCAAGACCACCAGACTTCTGATTGTTAAATCTCAGTCTGTAATGCATAGTGCCTTTCAAATACCGCGCTATGCGTTTCAGAGCTTTCAATCCTTGACACTAGGATTGTTGACTTGTCTGCTTAGCAAATTACAGCTAACAGCAATGTCTGGTCTTGAACATCTGGCAATGAAGTTTAGCTTGCCTAGCACACTCCTGTACAGTGTAGTGTCAGAAAATGCTTCTTCAGTGTCATCTACCTGATAACCTGTTGTCATCGGTGTGTCTACAGGGTTAGCATCCATCAGATTTAGTTTGCTTAACACATCAGCAATTTTCCGTGACTGGTGTACTAGAATGTTACCATCTTGATCTCTCTCTATTTCCAGAGATAGGTAGTTGTTTACCTCACCAAGATCTTTCATGTCAAAGTGCTCTTTCAGTTGAGCTAGGGCGCTATTGTACATTGCAACATCTTTCCAAAAGAATAATAAATCATCAACATAAAACAAACAGTACAGTTTCTTTTGCCCCTCCTCTTTGACAAATACACATGGATCAGCTTTCCCTTGCTGAAAACCTAGAGAAAACAATACTTCAGTGAGTTTTGTGTGCCAACACCGTGCACTTTGTTTGAGACCATAAAGGGATTTCTTCAGAGCACAAACAAATCCCTGTTTTACCTGTACGCCATCAGGTGGAAGCATATAAAGTGATTCATCTAGAGATCCGTACAGAAAAGCTGTATTAATATCATGGTGACTAATGTGTAGATTTTCCTCTGCAGCTAAGCTTGAGCATAAGCCTAATGCTTTCATATCTCACTGTGGGTGAATAGGTCTCGTGATAGTCTTCACCTGGTACCTGTGCAAAACCTCTGGCTACCAATCTGGCTTTGTGTCTGACTATCTTGCCATTTTGATCTGTCTTCGCTTTGAAGACCCATTTGCTCCAAGCAGTTTCATTCCTGGAACTACTGGAACTAGCTCCCATGTTTTGTTCCTTTCTAAGGAATCAAGCTCAGCCTTCATGGCATTTAACCATGGCTCAGCTTCCTTTGAATCCAAACCCTGGATTTCTTGGAAACTTGAAGGTTCAAATACCTTCTTGGAGCTTTTAACAGCTGTTACTGCTATCTTAGCAAACTCATCAGCAAATCTCTTTGGAGGTTTGCCTTTTGTGGCTCTCTGTGACCTACGAATTAGCCTTAAGTCTTCAACACTCTCCTCTTCCTTCTTAGGAGAAAAACGACCTATTGTGAACAATGGTTCCTCCAATTCTTGATCAGAGCTTTCAGAGGGTCGCATAGAGGCTTTCGCACTCTCGAAATCCTCTGAATCACCCGATTCAGTTTCAGATTCAGACTCAGAACCTTCATCAGTGGGTGTGGGCTGTTGTGGTTGCTTTTGACTATCCTCAGTCTCATCACCGTCATCAGGATAACATTGGAAAATTCCCACATTCTCCCCCACTTTGCATTGTACTCAACACTTCTCGTGAGCTTAATTGTCTTAGAGTCAGTCATCATTATTCTGTAAGACCCTTTCTGATAACCTAGAAAGATACCATGCAATCCACGCTTGTCTAACTTGGAGTTTTGTGGTGAGCGAACCCACATGTCAGAACCAAAAATCTTCATGTGTTTGATGTATGGCTTCTTGCCAAACATCTTCTCATAGAGAGTACAACCAATCGCTGAAGATAACCTGCGATTGTAACTGTAAACAAAACACGAGAGAGATTCGGCCCAATAACTCTCTGGAAGATTGGCATCATGCAGCAAGGTCTTTAACCCTTGAAGCAATGTCTGATTTGCCCGTTCCGCAAGTCCATTCTGCCATGGCGAGCGAGGACTAGACAAATCGTGTTGAATTCCTTTCTCAGTCAGAAAAGCTTCAAACTGCTGAGAAGTGAATTCCCCCGCGATCACTGAAAAGAGTCTTTATCTTCTTACCATGCACATTTTCCAACCAAGCACAGAATTCCTTGAACCTAGGAAAAGCCTCCGATTTCTGCTTGAGATTGTACACAAAAATATATCTAGAAAATGCATCAATGAGAACCATGAAGTATCTATTTCCACCCAAAGAGGGCGCTAGTGGTCCAACCAAATCAGCATGAACAACCTGGTATGGTTCTGTAGCTTTCCTACTAGACACCTTACCTTTCGCAGCCATTTTCACCTTGTTTGCTGCGCATGCTTTGCACTTCATGTGGTACCTGCAGGGTTTAATAGTCATACCTTCAACCAAGGCAGGCATTTTAGATACTGCCTCAAAATGCAAATGACCAAATTTTCGATGAAAATCGTGAATACATTCTGCATGCAAACTTTTGTTAGAACCTGCAATGCAACAAGTGTCATCCTGCACCACATCATCATAATACAAAACAAACAAATGATCAACATATTCTGCATGCAATACATAATCATTTTCTTTGTGATGATGCACTTCTTGTTCTTGAAGGAAACGTCAATGTTCCGCTCATTCAGCTGTCCAACGCTGAGCAGATTATGTTTGGCGTCTGGCACGTAAAGCACATTCTGTATCGATAAGTCCAAACTGTGAAGAACAAC